TGCCAGGCTGATCTCTGCAGAACTTGGCCAGGAGTCTCAGAGAGTCACGAACCAATGAAGGGAACTAATTGCCTCCTGCAAACTCCACTCCCCCTTCGCTCCTCTTTTATTTCCTCTGGCCATTCATCGTCCACCTGTGGCCTTCCTCCCAGGTCAACCCCTGTTCTTTAGCTGTTTCCTTCGTCTGGCCACTCCGCGTATGCGTACACTGGGAACAGGCTCCAGCTGTTCCTCTGCCTCACTGATGTCTGACTCCGAAGGCAGCTGATAACTGTCAGACGGCCACATCCCCCTCTCTGCCTCCGACACAGAGCCCTCATCCGAGCCTTCCCCAGACTCCAGGACCGGCCCAGGTTCTTCCCCAACCTCCTCACTCTCTGAATCTGCTGCCAGCTCTGCTGGCCACTGGTGGGCCACTACAGGGGGTTAGACTAGAAGACCTCCAAGATCCTTTCTAGCTTATGGTTCTATGATTCTATAAGGAGTGAAAATCCTTAAAGAGACAGGCCTTAATTTTGTCATTTGGGGCCCCCGCCAACAGTTTCTTTCTTTAGCTGTTCCAAGTGGACCGCTTCATGGGGGCCCTTCGAAAGGGAGTCCGTGTTGAAAGAAAACTTGACAAAAAAGAGAAGTTTAAAATTGCTTTCTTTCTCACTGAACACAGCCGATCCAAACGTCGCCCGCCCTTTTCAAGGTGATTGAATGATTAAATGCAAGCGGAGGAGGGAAGTCAGAATGGCAGCTGCATTCGCTGCACTTTTATTTTAATTAAATTCAGACATAAATCAGCAGAAGTCCATTTGAGAGGGACACCTAGCCCTCCCCATATCCTGGGGGATCCAGCCAATAGGAGGCGCGCTGGAGAAGATGGCTATTTGCCAACGGATTTTATTTACAAAGCGAGCGTCTCTCTCAAACTGTTTTTTTTTTAAAAAAGAAAATCCCCGAGGAGTTGGAAGTCTGATCCATTTTAACAACCTTGATTTGTCTCTTGAATCAGTGGGAGGAGACGTGACGGAGATAATTAACAAAAGGCAGGGTATCACACGTTGTTAGCTCTGGAGAAAAGCCCCAAATATGCTTAAATACACAAGCAGGGAGTATCCATAATTCATTCATTCTCATTTTCATTTTCATTCTCTCTCTCTCTAAATCTCTCTCTCAATCTCTCTCAATACCAATCTCTCTCTCAATTCTCTCTCTCTCTCAATTCTCTCTCTCTCTCAATCTCTCACAATCTTTCTCTCAATCTCAATCTCTCTCTCTCTCTCAATCTCTCTCTCAATCTCTCAATCTCAATCTCTCTCTCTCTCAATCTCTCTCACAATCTTTCAATCTCAATCTCTCTCTCAATCTCTCTCAATCTCTCTCTCAGTCTCTCTATCTCTCAATCTCTCAATTTCAATCTCCCTCTCAATCTCTCTCTCTCTCTATCTCTCAATCTCTCTCTCTCAATCTCTCAATCTCTCCCTCAATCTCTCTCTATCTCTCAATCTCTCTCTCAATCTCTCAATCTCTCTCTCTCAATCTCTCTCACAATCTCTCTCTCTCAATCTCTCTCAAACTCAGTCTCTCTCAATCTCTCAATCTCTCCCTCAATCTCAATCTCTCAATATCTCTCTCAATCTCAATCACTCAATCTCTCTCACTCAATCTCAATCNATTCCATATTCCATATTCTACTCTATTCTACTCTTCATTCTATTCCATATTCCATATTCCATATTCTATTCTATATTCTATTCCATATTCCACATTCCATATTCTATTCTATATTCTATTTTATTCTATTCTATTCTACATTCTAATCTAATCTAATCTATTCTATTATTCTACTCTACTCTTCAGTCTATTCTATATTCTATTCTATTCTATATTCTAAACTAATCTAATCTATTCTATTATTCTACTTTACTCTTCATTCTATTCTATTCTATTCTATTCTATATTCTATTCTATATTCTATTCCATATTCTCTATTCTGTTCTGTTCTATTCTATTCTATTCTATATTCTAATGTAATGTATATTCTATTCTATTATTCTACTCTAAGGTGGAGTTTGTTGTGAAAAGAGTAGGATTGTGGTTGTCATAAAGCTTAACCTTGATGCTTCCCGATGTCAGGCACATCCTGGCCTATTCACGTGTGGTTCATGGGGTTGTCTACTGCGATTTATTTACCATGATTTTCTTCTCCCTTTTTTTGGCTAGATTCTCAGCGTTCTCATCTCTCTTCGTTCACCATGAAGCTAAAGGACAAATTCCACTCGCTCAAAATAAAAAGGACGCCATCGAAGAAAGGGAAGCAGCCTGACCTAGTGGTGAAATCCCCCGAAAAGGTTGTGAACAAGGTAAGATGGAGGCCTTCCTGAGTGAATTAGTCGAGGGGCACCTGGTAAGGGCAGTGAGTCCTCCACTTAACGACATATTATTGAGCCTGGGAATACAATTGTAAGCCGTGGCCGTTGTTAAAAAGATCGTCACCTGATTTTTATTATCTTTTTTTTGCAGCAGTCATTAAGTGAACGCCACTGTCATTAAGCAAACATGGCGGCTGTTAAGCAAACACCACAGTCGTTAAGCGAACATTAAATGTTTCGCTTCTCCTCCAAGGAGCTTACTTTGGTTCTGACTGAATGGTGGAAGGTGGAAGGATTTATATTCCTTGCCTTCTTTGTTGTTGTTGTTTTTTTTAAAGACATTTCACTTTTCATTTGAGAATCTTCTTCAGTTCTGCTTGAAGAGTGCAGGGTGGAAGGATTTATTGCCGTCATCTGGTCGTTCGCGCTCTTTCTGAGAGTCATTGAGGCTTCCCAAGAGCATGAAGCAAACTCCTAGTCCTGACAAAAATCCCTTTTTATTAATTGGCTGTGAATTCTGCTCATCCACATCCAGCAAAGTCTTTCGAGGAAGGATTTACGGTCACAGACCTTATCTGGCTTGGAGAGCTGCCAGGCTGATCTCTGCAGAACTTGGCCAGGAGTCTCAGAGAGTCACGAACCAATGAAGGGAACTAATTGCCTCCTGCAAACTCCACTCCCCCTTCGCTCCTCTTTTATTTCCTCTGGCCATTCATCGTCCACCTGTGGCTTTTCTCCCAAGTCGACCCCTGTTCCTTAGCTGTTCCCTTCGTCTGGCAATTT